AGGAATGAGAGAGACCTCTCTCGAAACTGCCAGGCTCCATCTGGCCGCTGGGGGAACCTGCCTTGATCCACGGGAGCCCACGCTGGTGCCGTGCCTGGTCTTGCTAGCCGGTGGGGGTCACCTCCGAAGGCAGCAGCACTGAGCACTTCCTGACCATGAACAGGAGGCCTGCCAGTTGTAGTGGAGGCTTCCTCCCAGTAAGGGTGTGTTTTCCCCCTGCTCTGCGATCCCAGTTGCTCCGTGGCCAAGATGCATGTTCCTTCTTGCAGCCTGGATCAAAAGGATTCACCCCAGTCGTGTTTGCTGCCACGGTGCCACCATCTCCTGTGGGGCCGGCTTTCTTGCCTGAAGGTCTCCAGCCGGGGTGGGGCTGAATCACAGGCTGTGCTTTCGAAGTAGCCCTACAGCCCTGCCTGCCTGCCTTCACCGCCCCAGAAACGGGCCCTAGCCCTGCCCTGCGTAAGACCATACTCCTTAAACACAGCTGAACAGGGCAGGTTGCGTTACCGCTCCGGGTGTTTTGCTGCACAGCTGTCTTTGAGAGCGAAAGCCGTTGTGTTAACGCTCCATCAGCTCGCGGCGCGGTCCTGGTGAATAATGGATGAGCCCCATAATTAAGAGTGCCGTGTAACTAACCTAAGAACGAGGCTGCCGTTGTGAGTGGGCGCGCGCGGCGATAACGTCGGCCCAGGCAGGGTGATGTTACCTCTCCTGCAAGACCCGTGGGGGGCCCTGAAGGCTAGCTTGGAAGAGGAGACCAAAAGGAGTGGTTTGGGCATGGCTGGTCTCCCAGCTGCTCCCGTTAAGCACCACGGGGCGGTCTGTGCGCGGGTCTTACTTGAGAAGCGCCGGAGGGTGGAGATTCAGGCTGGCCCCTTGCGTCTCGCTCTAGAAAGAAATCTAAGACACCGGTTTGGCTTCTTGACTGGCTTAACTTCAGCACCGGGACTTCTGAACTCTCCAACTCTGACCCCTTCGCTCTTATTTAAAATTAAAGGCGGAAAACTTACCCAATTGTCCGTGGGCCTGCTCGGCACCTTGCTCTTCTTCCTTGACGGGGGCTTGTGTTTCACCGCTCTTACATCACCAGTGCACGATTACAGATCACGGTCCCCGGGGAGGGGACGCAGGTCCCGGCAACGGCCCGGGGCGCATGAAATGACCGCTGTGAGCTGATCTTGGCGTGATGGGCGGCTTTCCGGGGAGGGGCTGGCTAGCGCCGCCTGCTCGGCACATGTTCCCGTAGCACGGCGTCCCGGTTTACACGCGTGCGGCGTTTGCACGGGGTGTTTCTGGCCCCTGTCCTACCTGCTCAGCCTGTGCAGCCAGGTAGAGCCTCAGCCTCCACTAGACCTGCCCGCAGCAAGCTCCCAACTCTGCCTGGGAGTCGGGGCAGCAGCCTGGAGAAGACGGCTTTGCGTGGGGGGCCTGGGGAAGAGCCACCAGGATGCTTTCATGTCTCCTCTCCAAAGAGGTTTATCCCTTCCCGAGCCCCCGGAGACCTGTTGCCATCAAACACCTCCCTTGCGCGAGGCAGAGTCCCCTCGGTTTATCTGGGGGAGACCGGCCCTGGCCTGCCCAGCAGCCCATGGCGCCAGGCCAAGCGCGTCGTGCGCTGGCTGGCGCGCCGCGTAGCAGCTGGAAGATGTCGGGGTGTAAACAAGGATGGCTCCTGCCTGCCGCAGCCCTGCCCCACCTCCCTGGATGCGGCTGCGGCTCTTGGGGCGGGGAGGTGGCTCAGAGGGAGGGTGTTGGTGCGGAGAAGGGTGGGGGCTGGGGCTGTCAAAGGCACCCAAAGAAATGGGGGGCCTGTTGGGCTGTCTGCACTGCTGGGTGCGATAGGACCGAGTCTCTTCCATCCCCTTCTCCCTCTCCTCCCCGAGAGTGGGCGGCTTGCGGGGGAGCAGCTGGAGCGGAAGAAGGAGCTGCAGCGCCTGCTGGAGGAGGAGGACTCCAAGCTGAAGGGGAAGGCGCCCAAGCAGGCGGCTCCCGCCAAGGTCACCCGGGCGCAGATCGAGGAGACACTGCGGAAAGACCAGCAGCAGGAGGACGGTGACGCAGGTGCGGGGCTGCCCTGGCGCGCGCTGCCGGGACGGTCTGGCTGGCCACAGATGAGCCCCACGAGTGGCACTGCCCTGGGGGTGGGGAGCGGCGCCCGTAGCAGAGTGCCCAGGGTGCCGGAGGCTGGGCATCGCGTCCCCACCAAAGCCCCTGCCCTGAGTGCCAGCCCAACCACGCTCCAGGCGGGTAAAGTGGGCTACCCCTGACCCTTCCCCTTTCCCCCTCTCCCCACAGTGGAGAAGCAGAAGAGCCACCTGGAAACTCCCCTGGAGGAAAACATCAACAGGCAGGTGGTGGAGGAGGGCACCGTGGAAGCCAGAACCATTGAAGATGCCATTGCCGTGCTCAGGTAGGCTGCCGTGCCCAGCTGGATTGGGGGCGCAGCAGGTCCTTCAGGGGGCTCCCAGGGACGTGTCTGGCCGTGTGACGCTAACAGCGTGGCCGACTGCTCCTAGCCAGGCAGAGCAGGATGGTCGGGCACTTGTTCCGCTCGTCCCTCCTGCCCACAAAGCAAATGCTGCGCTGTCGCGTGGTGCCCTAGACACAGGGACCTGGGAAGGGGACAGCAGCTTGGGAGCTGGTCTGATGGGTCTGCATGTAATCCCATGTTTATCTATCTTGCCCTGGGCATCTGGCATCGCGGCTCCTCCTTACAGCTGCCAGGGCCACAATCCCCTGCTCCCCCCCGTGCACGCTCTCCTCCTCACTGTAGTTTCCCTGCGGTGGAGCTCCCATCTGGGCGGGGCTGCACAGGGACCTTGGCTGCGTGTGACCCACACGGGACCCGCTCTGCGCTTGGCCAGGGGAGCGTTGGCCCCCAGCCTCGTGCTTATCCAGGGCATCCAGGCCAGGTGGGTGCCAGGCAGCTGCAGCCAAGGTCCCTTTCTCTTCCACCAGTGTGGCCAGCGACCTGGACCGGCACCCGGAGCGCCGCATGAAAGCCGCCTTCACCGCTTTCGAAGAGGTCAACCTGCCGCGCCTGAAGCAGGAGAACCCCAACATGCGCCTCTCCCAGCTCAAGCAGCTCCTCAAGAAGGAGTGGATGAAGTCCCCAGACAACCCCATGAACCAGAGGCACGCGTCCTACAACTGCCAGAAGTAGGACTGGACCCAGCAGCCTGAGCCGGGGCTTCTGCAGACGCTCGCAGAAGCCAAGCGAAGGCGGGACCCTCCTCTCTCACACGTGCCCTTCCCCGCCCCTCCTGCCCCTCTGCTCGGACTCTGATTCAACACGCGGCGCTTACAGCTGTTCCCCGGGCCCTCCAGGCTGCTTCCCGCTCCCCCGGGCAGTTGGCGCCTGGCCCACTGCCAACCCCGGCTGGAACAGTCCCCCGCGTGCAGCCCCGTCTACAGCACAGGGTCCTGACCCTCCTAGGCATCGCCCTGGGTGGACCAACAGTCCTCAATGCCTTGGAGCCACCGCCGTCAGCGTAGACCTGCAGCTGGTGCCGCTGTGCAGACCTGCACCCTCCTGGTGCTGCCCAGCCCTGGGGAGAACCCCGAGCAGCCCCCGGCCCCAGCGTGTGTGCAGTGCCCCCGAGATGAAGCCTCCCTGTTTCTGGCCTCTGCCTTACACCCCTCTTTGCAGGGAGGCTGGAGGGGCTCGGTGGGTTACATGCGCGCCACCAGCGCTCGCGGGCCCTGCGCCAGGTGCTGGGCAGGGGGAGAGTTCTGGGCAGGCACAGGGAGCAGAGGGAGCTGTTTCAGCACAGCTCATCACCCACCTGCCCTCCCACCGCCTGTCCTAGCACCTGCCTCTGTGGAGCTCGGTGCTGTGTCTGCCATGTGCGTGGGTCCCAGAGCTTTGCACGGTGCTGGGGGGACACGAGCAGGGCCAGCCCCTGCCCTACCAGCAGTCCCAGCCTCATGGCTGGCGCAGTCCCCCGTGCCTACCCTTCCCTTCCCTGCAGTATTTAAGCTCCGCAGCCTGGTACGAGACTTCTCCCAGGTCTTCTGGGGTGGCCGCAAAGGGGGGTTAGTGCCAGGGCCCAGAGTCCTTATCCTGCATTAAACGGTCACGGGTGTTCCTCCTTCCCCCTTCACGTGCGCCTTGGGCCCCACTCTCCCACCTGTAGGCCCTGAAAATCTGGCCCCAGCCACCGTGCTGCTGGTGCCCAGCCGCCCTCTCCCCGGCTTGTCTGCCAGGCCCTTGCCTTTGCACGGGGGTAGCAGTGGGGTCCAACGTGGGCACAGGGACAGAAGCCGTTGACGGCCTCCTGCTGCTCTTCTGTGTCCTTCCCCTCCCTGCTTGCCCTCTTGCCACCCCTCGGCCCCAGCCGTTTGCTCCGGACCGCTCCAGCTGAGGGCACTGGGCCTGCTCCTCCCTGCGGCGGCCTGTGACTAGCGGGACGATGGGGCAGCCGGGCATCTTCCTCGGTGCACGCTGTGTTCGGTTTGGGTTTGATTGACTCTGGTGCGGTGCAAGCCCAGCTTGTGACTGCTGGAAGAATAAAGCGTTTGGATCGTGCTGGCTCTGGCTTCTCTTCCTTCTTTTCGTGTCTGCTGGTCTCAGCACTGCTGCAGCGGCCAGCCCCTTGGATCCGCCTCCGGGGAGCCTTGTTGGGCCAAGCCCAGCTGGGAGCAAGTGGTTGAGCCTGCCTGGCCCTGGAGTCTTCCAGGAGCAAACTGATCCTACTCGGAGCCAGGGGCTGTTGGCTGCTCTAGGGGCTCGGCTGGGCCTTGCCCGTGTCCTCCCCCAGGTTTTGCTCCCACGACCCTGTTGAGCAGGAGGATGTTATTCGTCCCCACACCCCTGGCTCTGCTTGTGCCCCTCCACTACCCCTGCTTCCTCCAGAGCTCAGCCTGGCTCTGGGGTGGCTGGTGGGTGCTGGGGGACCAGCTGGGGTCTGCCCCCGTGGGTCCCAATAGCGGGGCTGATGAGGGGTCAGGCTGGTGAGCGTGTCAGGCCAGGCATCCTTGCACCCATGGCCCCATAGTCCCTGCCGGCCAAGAGGTCTTTGTCCTCTGGTCCCCGTCTTAGGGGAGCTGCCTGACCCCGGGGAGAGCCCTGGCTGCAGCAGTCAAGCACCAAGCTGGAGAAAGGGCTATGGGAATAGGTGATTCCTGTTAGCACCTGGGCCAAGCCCTGCCAGGAAACCGCCCCTGGGGCCGGGGTAGCTGAGCTGTGATCAGTGCAGCCTGCTAGGCCACACAGGAGCTGCCCCAGGGGAAGGTGCCAGGTGCTAGGACCAGCTGGCGAGCAGGGTTTCGTGGCTCAGCTGGTTGCAATACCGGCCGCTTTCAGGCCTGGGGGCTCTCCTGCCCCCTCCCTGCAGGGTAGAAACCGGGCTGTTTGCTCTAGGAGCACGGCGCTGTGCCTTTGCTCCCCGGGGCCTGGCTGGGAGCCCCTAGCCCTCTTGTGCCCGAGTGCCCCCTGCCTCTCCCCAGCTTGCTTTCCGTGCAGGGGCAGGGGGCTCGCTTGGTCTCCCTGCCGCAGCCCGCCGCCGGGCACTGCTGCCTCCTTGCAAGCCAGCGGTCAGTGCCCCCCCCCCGGCTCTGCCACCCGCAGCCCTCGGTGCCGTGAGCCGGGTGGAGGCACCCGGGGAGGCTGCTCCTGGGGTCTCAGGGCTGGCAGCTCCTTGTCCCCAGAGCAGGGCTCGGGGCAGCACCCCGCTGGGGTGCACCTGGGCTGCCTTGGGGTCCCCTCCCGCGGGGCGGGGGGGCGGAGGAGGGGACGTGCTGCATTGGGGGTCGGGGCAGGCTGCAGCTCGCTGAATGTCACCTTGGCTTGGGGGGATGGGAAGCCCCTCCTCCATCCCCCAGCGGGGGGGTCGCGCTAGCCCAGGGCGCCCCCCGCCCTTGCATCTCCGCAGCGGGAACCTCCCTGCGGCATC